CGAGTTTTTGTTTGATTGTTGTCATATTGATCTCATTATCTATGAAAAGATTTACTGGATGAATAGTTGAATGGATAAAAACAAAATATCAAGACATCGGTGTAGATTTTGTGAATATTTTAATTTTTTTGCAACTTCATTTTATGGAGAGAAATTGCGTTTTTTTTAAATCGCTATGTTGTTGGAGTGATACTTTGTTTCTGCTTTTTTTTGAAGTTTATTTTGATGCCTAATGAGTGATCGCCGACGAGTATTGCTGAAAGAGAAAACGTGTTGACGTTGCGTTGCACTTCATGTGGTTTCAGGAGGTGTAATTAGAATGGAGATAATTTCGCAGCGTGGTACATCCCAAAGAACAGACGGTGGTTTCATCTATCGTTTTGATAAGAATCTTAAAGATGGTAGTGAGGCGTGGCGATGCACTAAGAGCGGATGCAAAGGGCGAGTGCGCGTTGTGAACGGTGAAGTGCATCTGAAGAGTGATCATAACCACGTGCCGAATCCCACTGAAGTGGCCGTCAAGCATTACCTATCGTCGATTCGTAATCGAGCGTCGTCCAGTCAAGACACGCCGAAGATAGTTCTCGAACAAGAGCTCTCCCTTCTTACCGAAGATAGCATTGCTCAACTGCCCAAATATGAAGCATTGCGTCGAATGATTGAACGAACCAGAAAGGTGATTAAGACATTCCAGTGGAGTGTTGTGAACGGAGATTTCGGCGTTTATTTTGTATTAACACTGTATTATATATCTGAACACAAAGCATTCATAAGACACAAACAAAAAAAAGGGAGGAGATCTTCTAAATGACATATACGATAGATAAGTTTCATCACCCGAATGGATGGTGCATGATATCCGTGTACATCTTATACATATTCAGCTAAGTACAGATTCAAAGGTTGATTTCACATATCACTTTGGTGTGCCTCACGAATCGTCTCTTTCGCGTTCCATCGCGACAGGAGTCGTGCCATTTGCTACTTGCGATCTAGCGATTAACTTTTTTTCCAGCAATTGAAGAAGTGACAGTTGCTTTGTGCAGCGATCGGAGAACTGTATCTCCATTCTTATGGGAGTTTTGTCGTATGAAATGCAGTTGATTGTAGATTATCTCTGCAATTGAATGAGAGAAATATGATGATGTATATTGAGTGTTTGATTCAGTTTTTCGACAGGATTTTGTGGGAATTGAATTAGTTCAGTTTTATGTTTAGCGCAAGATGAACCATTGGATGTACTGTCGGTTTGCAGCTGACTGTAATGTGGC